ATGTGCCATAACTTTTGTACAGGCTACATTTTATGATTTATTATGCCCTCCAATATGTTAAATTCAAAGCAAATTAGCAGTAATTGTGTATTAAAATGTGTTACAAAACATACAATTTGCCCTGGGGTGCTCACATTTGTGTACTGTTTTATGATAGGTGAGTTCCAGCAGGCCTGACAACACTAATACTTTTACATTTACACCTCACACACATTAATTACTCACGATAAAATTATATGTATGACAGTTTAAAGAACAAACTTCTCATTGCACATTTCCAATGTACCACTGGTTTTAGTTATTAACAAGTGATTAATAATTGGTTTTCAGTAAATTAAATTTACATGTAAAAATTCAGACATACAGCTTCTTTAAGCCATTTTTAACACTCAGGATTTAGAAATCTCTCAGATTTTTTCCTCTAACTTTGTATTCCCTCTTGAAGCCAAGCCAAAAAAAGCCAGCTGACTCGGCTTCCTCTCTTAACTAATGTTAATGCAAAGACTAGCGCATGGTGGGGTTCACTCATTACACTCAATTACATGTCCTGAAAGCACATGCCATCCTATTAATTATTCCACTAAGGGAAAACCTCCAAATTAAATATTCATGAAAAAAAAACAGGGAAAAACACTTGCTTTAGCCTGTTTTGGTTCAATTGGCAGTCTGCCAGCCAAGTTAGCACATTCTAGCTATTCAGGGCATTGAGTAAAATTTTAGACTTTGCTCACAAGCAACAGTAGTCCTCATGGGCATCCTGTACCTGTGAGCTCATTTCCAGGCATAATTTGCTTTAGGTACATAAAGGTCAGTCATTTCACTCAAAAAAGGCTCATGTGAGTTAACTAACTGATAAATAATACCATGAAATCTCTTGTCCCTCATTGAAAAAGGATATAGATAAATTGCAATAGAAATTCCAATATGATTTTGATATTAAAGAGCAGCATAACAAGCTAAGAAAGGCTTAATCTTCTCTGAATAATCAGAGTTCATCTTGCGTCCCAGGAGAACGTTCCTCAGTGAGCGTCTGACACACATTTCCCAATCATTTTATACCGAATGAGTTGACCTTTAAAACAGTTCCCCAGAGGAAGGTAAAATTAGTAGCCTTTCCTAATTTAGTATCCTTCAGAGACAACCTCTCAAGACTTTGGTGGTAATTAACATTATACAACAGTTCTATTTCATCACTACAGATCTCTATGGCGACGGTCACGGGTTCTGAAACGACATCTGATAAAAACTCTACCTCGAACTGTGATCAAAATGAGTGAATTCTAGTTGATTAGTGGTAAAGTCTGTTTGGGGACATTACCAGGGCAGCTATAAAATGCTCTCCTTTAAATGCAAAGGCTTATACCAATTTGGTTGGTGCAGTGAATATCAGTATTCATATTCAATATGAATACTGCAGAGCTGTTGTTCATCATTATCATCATTATCACTAATGATGGGGTGCATGACCATGATTTCCCATGCAATGTCAACACATCAAATACTGCATCTATCAAAATGGATTGTGCGCAGTCAAACTGACTGACATTCTCTTTGTAAGTTAAGGTCACCACTGCTTTAAAGGGAAACTCCACCAACATTTCTAAAGAATTCGACTGTTTCGGTGTAAAATGCACCATCCTACTGAAACAAAATTGTCAAAATTGTTCACAGTAGTGGTATTAGGAACCAGACATCTTAAGAGTTTTATATCTCTAAAAGCCATCTCACAGAAAGTAATTACATGCAATGGTTATAAACAGGTTGCCTGAAATATTGCTTTATGATGGTTTTGACAAACTTTTGGAACAAAACATATCTTAAAATCCTTTTATGGGGCAGGGATACACGCAGGGCGCTTTAATAAAACTGATTTTTTTCTGATTTTCTACTATTTTACCATTATGTCAACGTTACATATAAAAGCTCAGGCGATGGGTGTGGGTTCACTTGTCAATTTGGAGTAACTAAAATGGCTAAATTTCCACTGCTGATATTGACACCTCTAGTTCCAATAATCACCAATATAAAGAAATCAGAGTCAGTAGGTTTCTCTACAGTACTATTTCACATCAAACCACTTTGAATGACTTTGAATATTGACATCTCAACCATTGAAATATGCAGAAAAAAACAACAAAAAACAGAATTTCCCTTTAAAATCAAGTGTTTGATTACTTGTGCTGCGATGGACTGGCAACCTGTCCAGGGTGTATCCTGACTTCCGCCCAATGACCACTGGGATAGGCTCCAGCAGCCACCCGCGACCCAGAAGAATAAGCGGTTTAGAAAGTGTGTGTGTGTGTGTGTGTGTGTGTGTGTGTGTGTGTGTGTGTGTTTTGATTACTCAGCAACCAAAAGCCCATCTACAAATGCTACTAATCTACATATTACCATAGAAAGGTGCAGTAGCTGGAAGCATGTTATGCACATTAACTTAAAGCAGGACAATCTGCATTTCAAAGAGTTGTACTAATTGAAATGTAAAATCAGAGCTGATTCTGTCATTCAGAGTCATATACTTCTACAAAGTAAGCAAGTGCAAGCATGAAAAAGGAAAAATATAACACCTATAGCATTTAATACGTCTGCACAGTATGGACAAAATACTGCTACACTGTAATATGATTTGTGGTAAATAAAGTGAGGAGTGCACATTGATTCTGTAAAAATGATTTGTTGTAATAAATAATAAGTTAAAACCTGACTGAAATGGAGACATTTTTGAACTTGAAGGACTTGAAGAACTGGACAGATTATAACATACTGCTTACTGTTCTGTTAACTTAAAATTCAATTAACTCAATTTTTTAAGGCAGCCAGGTTATTGTATCAGTTATTAAAGTTATTGTATCAGCACATCGGTTCTAAAAGCTATGATGTAATTCTATTGCTCCAGATCTCTATCATGAAGTTGAAACCTGGTTTTGTTTTAGAGCACTTCTCTAAGATAAATGTTTATCTGTGTCTGTCCACTGTTCCATGTTGCCAAACTTTCAAGATGACAATAATCATCTAGGGCAACAAATCAAGATCTTCATTCAAGCAGAGCTTAATAAATATACTCAAGTTGTGGTGGAGTTTGCTGTGAAGTGAAATAGAAATGTAACATTTGCTGGATGTAACTGAGATGAAGTACTGCAGTAATGTTTAAAATATCACCTACAATATCAAACTGCTGCAAAAACTAAAATGAAGATTTAAACCCCTACAGGGCACAGCAGATGTTAATTGTCCTCATTATTCTAATTACTTCATTTGATTTGCTATGAGTGAAAACTAAATCATTACATGTTTTCGTTGCATGTAAAGTTTGAGTTTTCACAGGTAAGAAATAAAAGAAATTTCAATTTTGGCATGTTACACTACTAGATTGTTTACATGTCACGTTTCAGTTTTTACCATACTAACAACATCTCTACATGTTCTAAATTAACTTCTGATATTAAAATTGTGGACTGAAATGGGGGCAATATGACAATTTTATCATCATATTGTATGTCACTGTACACTTTTTGAGCATATTATGGCTGTCAGTAGCTGTCAGGACACTGAATAACTGCATGTTCCATTTCAAAGACAGTATAATTAATCCTGTCCAACTGGATTCAGTGCAGTATGTGAACTGTAATGTAATGTACACATATTTCTTTAAAGGGGAATTCCACTGATTTTTCAAAATGTCTGTATAATTCAGTCACTGATACGTAAACAAAGTCATGCAGAGTGGTTTGATGTGAAGTGATGTATTTTAGAGAAACGTGCCAACTTAGATTTTTATACAGTGGCGGTGATGGGAACCAGGGGTAACATTGTGTACAACGCAAAAATTGCCATTTTATTTACTATCCAAAAAATAGTAAAATCCAGTGAACCTACACGTGTTCTGACTTTTTTTATATATTATACTGAGAACGGTAAAATAGTGCTAAATCTGGAAAAATACATATTTGGGTTCTATTTTGCTTTAGATACCCTACATGTACATCTCCGCCATCAGTGGTATAAAAAATAGATACTCTCCTCACTTTAGTAAAACAATGTCTCAACAATGTCTCATTTAACCATATAACGTAGTAACTTTCTTTGAGGGAGCTTTTAGAGACGAACTCTTCAGACGTCTGGTTCCTATCACCACCCTACTAGAAGTTTCTTATTTCAAATCAAATCACTCAGAATGACTTTATTTAGATCTTAACCATCTAATTATGCACACCTTTTTATAATCGACTGATTTCCCCTTTAAGTATCGTGATAGGCTTTCTATGTCTGCCCCTTGATCGACTCTGCACAGCCGGCGCTGCTGAAACATGATCAGTTTGTGTACAAATGGGCGTCACCTTAGCTTTGCATCACCACTGTCAAACTTAGAGGAAGTGCAGCCTGTGAAGGAGACCCCCGTTAGACAGTAACGTTTCATTTTCCTTCAGTTTTTCAAAGACTCAGCTGACGTGAAACCCAACAGGAGGAACGTCAGCAGCATCATTTCATTTCTTTAACCCCGTACAATCCTGAGGAGCTAGCTGTGACTTTAGCACACACAGCTAGCCAAACACAGCTAGCTAAAGGAGTGAAGCTGCATTGTGGCCTAATGACTGTGGATGCGCAAAAAACACTTAGTTGTGCGATCTTAATTCGTCGTACGTGTTTGTCTGAATCCTAAAGGGCATGTTGGTTCTGCAGAGACATATTCTGCGCATTAGTGCAGACCTACAGTACTTAGAAGACATTCAGGACATACTCGCTATCCTGTCCGGACACGTAGGTTACGTCCTCATGCGAGGAACATGGTGACTGTGACCAGCTGCCAAATAACTTGCTCAAGCCAGAGAATTCGTTAACAGCATCTGTCTGACTGCACTTTAGATTAAAAAATGCCATTATTTCTTTAAGAAACAGCACTCAGATATGAGAAAAGGGTCGTCAGACATTACCGGCGTGTTAGTGTTGGGGCTATTACGAAGCGGCGCGATGCAAATGTTAGACTTAAAAGCACACTTTACCTCCTCTTAAAGTCCTTTTCATACGGTTTGAGGTAAGGATCCATTTGTAGAAGTGAGCTGAGCTCGGGAATAGCAACATTATCCTCAGCATCTGCCATGTTCGCGCCAGACGTGAGCAATCGAGTACAGGGCTCGTAGAGCAGAGCGCGCTTGAACGCCGCTCTAAGACAGGTTGCCGAAAGTGGGCAGTGGCTTTTATGTCGTGTGTGGTGCTGACAGATTACAGGGGGTCACTCGGTTTTACCTCGTAGCATAAAGTGCGTGTTTCGACATGAAAATGCACAGCCTAAATCAGAACGGGAACTGCTCCTTTAAGATGGCACCAGAGCTGTTAGAAAGGAGGAAGGAGCACATATACAGTTTCAATCATGTGCCCCTTGTAGTGCCCTTGGAAACATGCGGGGGGCTTCCACATAGGGGTCATGGGGGGTTGGTCACTCCAGCCCCTATGACCTGAGTGACACCAAGAAAGTGAGATCAGCGAATTATTGTGTTTGAAGGTGATAGGCTTTTAAAAGCCACGTCTTAAATGGCAACTCCAGCCTTTCTTCAAAATTTCTAAATTAAATCAGCACTTGCTTTTATTGGAGGAAGAAAGGCGTTTAAAAGCCACGTCTTAAAGGGGAACTCCAGTCTTTTTCAATAATTTGGAATAATTTTAGCACTTGCTTTTATTCGAGGGAGAAAGGCATTTAAAAGCCACGTCCTAAAGGGGAATTCTACCATTTTTTAAAATTTCTGAATAATCTCAATACTATATGTGTAAACCAAGTTATTAAAAATAATTTGATGTGATATAATTTGTTGTAGAGAAGTCAAAGTCCTAATAGGAAAGTCTGTTCACTCAGCTCCCTTTTTGGTAATGGCCACAGGAAATGATCTCTATCTCTTTGAATAGGCAGAGGCCTAAACCCATTCAAGGCCTAGACCTAAAAGTTTTAGTGATTTGGAAAACTCTCTGGTGGAAATGTGTAATTGCACGCAACATGCGGAAGAGCATTTGTAACATCAGTTGTGCTTCAGACCCTTCCAGAGCAGATAAATCTGGTGATTGTGAACACATTGAAAGAGTATTCAAAGAGAACTCAGTCAAAACTTAGTGACTTTAGAGAATGTAAGTGAATATACTGTTGTCATCATATCATATCCATATCCTGCAAAATCCGACCCAGTCATGCACACCATGTTTTAGTGTGTGTGCGTGTGTTTCTCCTGACTCGGTAATGCTACTTCTTTCTAACAAGAAAATCTTATATAGTACAGGTTTAAAACTACATTAACATTTCAAAAACACATTTGAAATCACTGGTAAAATCTGGCAAACAGCTTATGGATCAAAATGTGTTTTTCCAGATTGTTCTGGCTGTCATGCACACGCGTATCTTCACGACAAGGGAAGGCTTTTCCCATTTATGCCTTTACCAAGAAGGTGACTGATGCTTTTTATTGAATCAGAATCAGAATGTTTATTTATCAAGTATCAAATGGACAAGGAATTTCTCGAAGTGCAAGAGTCAACATAAAATTGATGCAATAAAATGAATATATAGAAAAAGAAATACACAGACACACATGCACACACACACACACACACAAATATATATATAATTATATATATATATATATATATATATATATATATACATATATATGTGTAGGATAGGATACAACTAGTGAATTATATCGTATGTCTCTGGAGAAACTTACCAACATGAATTTCTTTACAGGGTTGGTGATAGGATCCAGGGCTCGCAATGTCTGCAGCAAAAATGTAGCCATTTTATTTACTATCCAAAAATCAAGTGAACCTACATAAGAGGTTTTTCTGGGTAAATTAAATAAATAGTAAGAGACTGGGTGGCGCAGTGGGTAGAGCTGTCGCCTCACAGCAAGAAGCGCCTGGGTTCGGTTCCTGGCCAGGTGACCAGGGTCCTTTCTGTGTGGAGTGTGCATGTTCTCCCTGTGTCTGTGTCCGTTTCCTCCCACAGTCCTGACATGCAGTCAGGCCAATTGGACATGCTAAATTGCTTCTAGGTGTGAGTGAGTGTGTGAATGTATATGTCTGTCTGTCTGCCCTGCGATGGACTGGCGACCTGTCCAGGGTGTATCCTGCCTTCCGCCCAATGACCGCTGAGATAGGCTCCAGCTCCCCCTACGACCCGGAAGGATAAGCAGCTTAGAAAATGTGTGTGTGTGTGTCTGAGGCCAAAGCCTGATCACAGAAGTATCATAAAACAATGTTTTGAGCATCAGACAACATATTAGTAACCTATTTGTACAATAACTTGTGAGGTCTAACTCCTCTCAACACTACTGTGAACAATTCTGACTTAGTACGTTTCTCTAGAACGGTGCATTTTACATCAAACCACTCTGAAAGACTGTGTACATTGTACCAATTAAATTGTGCAGAAATTTTGAACAATTAGTGCAATTCCCCTTTAACCCTGTGTGACACCATAAGTGCCATGTTATTTGTTGCTTATACAGTCGCAAGCTGGAATTGTTGTGTAAATAATAACATGAAAAATGTAACAGTCTGTGTAGAGACAACACAGGCTGTGGTAGATTTGTCCACGTGAATATGGTCGATGATAAAGTCGGATAAGATATCCTTGAATGCTTGATTTCCCCATAGCAAAAGGGTGGAAGCTACCTGTCAACCTTATCTGCGTAGAGAGCACATGTGGTCTGATTAGCTTCAAAGAAAGTGTTCACTTTACTTAGATCCCTCTCTGTGGGAGGCAGTACAGCGTGTTTTTTCCACAACACGCTGCTGTTATTTCTATCTGAATGCCTACCAGAGTATCAGCCATCACTAATAAGAAGATAATGGTTTAGAATGATTTTTATTACAACAAATTGAAATAATTAGATTTGTTAACTGCTGACGTTTGTTTGAGATCATTTAAATATTTTCCATGTATTTTCCTAATGCCTCAATATGTTTTAAAATGCATGTAAAATACAAAAAATATGGATATTCCACATTATATCTTTGTACTGTTCTGATCTAATCAGAAGTGTCTGTCGTTCCCAGCTGGCATATTTACATTTGCAGATTAAGATTTTGCTCTTTGAACCTTTGGCAGTGGTCTTAATCAAACTGAACATCATTGATCAGGTCAGAGTTTGCGCAAAGCTGCTCAACTGTTATCTGAAATGCTTTGACGGATGAAGGCAACTCAGAAGTACTGAATAAATAACTTTATCTGTTAAAGTGCGCCTGCTCTTGGCCTACTTTTTCACTGCTGTGCTTTATATTTCTAATCTTTCCTGGTCCTATTGCAAAATATTTGTACAGATGAAGACAGCATAGCAAATCACAAAATTGTATCAGTTATACAAGAATTAATACTCTAACACGCTCTTCTGGGTGTGTTGATCTGGTTTATCTAACATCTGCAGCCGTGTTATCATATCTAAACATTTTTCAAAACAAGAACTTACCAAAACTCCCTAAGCTCTCAATTCTGTTCTTAGTGCCTCGGCTTGGAAACAGGCCAGTTAGATTGTGAGGAATACAGTATAAAGTATAAATAGGTAGGATTAAGTGCACATCTAGCGCTTGAAAGTCAAGACATAATTTGAATATCAATAACTAGTTATATGTTTCCATTTATTCTGTCTTATGCTGCATAAGCATGTGATAGAAAAGCATGGCAGACCCGTAAATCGACAACGTAGACCATTGTTTGGTGTAGAGGGATTAATGTGCTTTAGAGACTCACGACTTTTAAAAGAGTTCTTTAAAGTTTTTCTTTTTTTTTTTGCTGAATAAAAACCCATTGAATTTAGCTTCTAGTGGAGCGGTCACCTTCACTGGAAAGGCTCAACGGAATGAACTGCAAATTCCGTCTTCAGTCACTGAAATAGCGGCATAATAAAAATGTATTACTCATATAGCTTATGATGTCTCATTGGTAATGTGATCAAAAGCCAATCTGATTATTGCCAGCTGGGGTCATCTAGACGCATAAAGGTGCCAGCATTTAAATATTGTCATTGGAATATTCATGAATATGGAAAGTGAAGGTCAAGGCTCTGCGCAAAAAGGTAAATATTTCTACATTCATTTGCTTTCACAGGTATGATATGTATGATTCATGAATGAGAGGGAGGGAGATATTTCTGGAATGGGAAGGGGTTAGGAAAAGGTCATGGCAAAAACAACTATATTTTATACCCACCAGACTTGAGACTGGCTGAGGTCCTGTTGTTGCTGTATGCTGACCATGGGACTGAAGACTTCACCTGCTGTGACAACACTGACAAAACAAAGCAAACGGCATTGATTAACTTTCCCAAATTAGTTCAGAAAATTAATAATGTGGTGACCTAGAGGACCTGGAGCACATACCAGGTTTACCATAACACGTTTATGGTTTCAGCTCTTCTTCATTATTTTTCTATAAATTAAAAATGTTAGTGAGATATAAATTACATTACACAGTTTCTGATCTAGCTTAAACTTTTCATTTTCCAATCACTGCCGTTTAGAGACATTGCTTTTAGGCAACAAACATCTACAGTAGTGTTTTCCAAAAACTGTTTTGGTTGATTTGGCCTTGAGCAACTTTTAGAATTTACTGGCTTATTTTCATGAACCTTATCCAAAATGACCCTGGATACTGTGGTTTTTCGGGAGAACATCAATAATTAATGTGTTTATGCTTTACATTCTGTGGTTTGTTTAATTAAGCTTGATCAGAGGAACTTTGCACAACTCTGCCTGACACTAATTGCTGTTGATTGAAGAAGCACCAAAAGCCATGGGCAGAAATGAATTGATAATATGGGTCTTCTTTGGTTCTCAGGAGGAAGCCCTTTGCTTCCGGTAAATTAAAGAAACAAAGCCAGTGAAAAGATCTAAATTTGCAGTTGGTGATGAGAAGACTGGTGGGAATGGCTGTGTAAACAAAATCTTATTGCTTTGGGCCAGAGGGAAGTGTAGTGAGGGGACTCAGAATTATAGGCAGAGAGGACGATGAAAAGTTGAAGGAAAAAAACGACATGTTGCACCCTTATTAAAGTAATGAGCTGGTTTTGAGAGACTGAATGTGAACTATTAGTATAATATTACAACATGAATACATGAACTATGTGGGGACAAACCCTGTACATTTACAGGAACAGGAAAAACATTCTTAATTTGTAACAGAAGTTAATGTTCTGCTTATTATGA